CGGCGGGCGGCGGACTATGAGGCGCCCACCATGGTGCGATGCGACCGCGGGCTGCAGATGCTGCTGACCACGGCCGGAGCCTTCGCCGCCTTCTCGCTCATGGCCATCGCCATCGGCACCGACTACTGGCTCTACTCCAGCGCGCACATCTGCAACGGCACCAACCTGACCATGGACGACGGGCCCCCGCCCCGCCGCGCCCGCGGCGACCTCACCCACTCGGGGCTGTGGCGGGTGTGCTGCATCGAAGGTACGGACCCCCTGCCCCGCTGCACACACATCCGCGCGCGCACACGCACGCACCCCACCCAGGGCGCCGGCCGGGAAGGGGGTGGGCGCGGCACTCGCTCGGCGCGAGACACAAAGGAGCCGGAGCGGGCGGGCGCGTCCTTTCGCGGCCAGCTGTGCACCACCTCGGGGTCCCTCCGGCCGGGGACACCCCCCAGTACACCGATCCGACAAACTCCACGCTCGCACACGCACACCCCCTTGCACGGACACAATGAGACACACCGAAACTCACACGCGCGCGCGCAGCCCGCGGCCGGAGCGATCCCGAGGGGCCGCCCCGGAGCCCCCAGGGTGGTGGCGGTTGGCGAGGGTGCGGGAGGAGGCTAGGGTTGGGGGAGCGGACGCGAGAGGAGGGGAGGGAGGAGGGGGAGGGGTTGCTTGGCAACCGGTGTCTGTGCGATTGCTATGGGAACTGGCCATCCTGGGGCGGGGCCGGCCGGGGGCGGGGAGCTCGGGGCTGCTCCGCGCTAGCTCCAGGCCGGGGCCGAAGGGTGGGGGTGGGGGCTGCGCCCCACCAGGTCCGGGGGCGCCGGTCGGCCACGTCTGACTCCTGCCGAGCCTTGCTCTGCCCCCACTCTTCAACGGGGCCACCGATCTGCTCGGTGGGGAAAGGAGGAGAGCGACACTGAGGCTCCCCCTGCTCTGGGCAGCCAACCCGGGGTCGTAAACCCTCGACCGCGGAGCTGTGAGGGACCTCGGCGAGGAACTGGGGAGCGCAGGGGCGACCCGGAACCGCCTGGGAGGGGCGTGGTCGCGCCGTCGGTGCGCTGCGCCCCCCGGATGCGTGGTGAGGCGGAGCAGTGGGAATACAGTAGATTCAGTGGCTCTGGGGGCGGCGACTGGGTGCCCCGAGACTGAGGGGACCGCTCCCTGCGAGGGAGGGGCCCGACGCCTCCGAAGGCAAAACGCGCCCGACTTGGGCGGGCGCCTGGCGACCGCCCGCCCGCCCAGCTGCGGAACTTGAACTAACAGGTGGCAATGGAGGGGCCGTGTGGTCTCCGCCAGGGTGTGGGCCGCTCTCCGCTCGGTCCTGGCTTTGTGACTGGAGAAGGGCTGGGGAGGCGGCGGAGCTTCCTTCGGAGAACCTTTAGACTGAGTTTCGTCTTTCTTTGTGGGTGACCTTTCCCAGTGCGTTAACTCCGCCCCGCAGTTGTTCGGGAAGTTCCTCCGCTCACCCTGCCTTGCTCACCTTGCTCACTGCATTTCCAGCCCACAGATCGTTCGGCGTGGTTGGATCTTGGCGGCGGTAGGTAGGAAGCTCTTAAAATGGTCTTTTTCCTGCCTTGCGAGTCCTCCTAAAAGTGGCTTTGTACCGCTGGTCGCTGGTCGTCTTGGTGAGGTCCAGCTGCCTCCTTCCTCTCCCCAGTAGACCCTGCCTGTTCCCATCCGCAGTCCTGGCCACCTCTGCCCACCACATCCTCTCCCCAAAGAGGTTGCCTTGCGCTTAGCAATGCGGAGCATAATTCTGGGGCTATGCGAATTCTAAGAGTGACAGAAATGTGCAGTCAATCCTTTAGGGAACACAGCCATACAAAGGACTGGGGGGGCCAGATCACACCCTTCTCTTTTCTTTCGAAAAATGTCGTTTTGGGGGGGGCAGCTACTGGGATGGTGAACACCTATACCTCTCACCCCCTGTACCCACGTCACTATCTGCCACGCCACCAGAGTTAGACCCAGCACAGGGGCTGTGGGGCCCCATGTTCTACAGCCTGAGCCCTCCTGGGGCTGCCAGCAGGGCTCCGTAAGTCATGTCACCGTCAGCACCCCAGGGTTCGCATGCACCCGGCTTTCCACTTTCCAGGTGGAAATGGGAACTAACTGCTCCGCCCTGGCAAGCTGGTCTCTGCAGAACGGCTCCAGTGCCACCTTTATTAATTCCTTATCCTAATTAGGATTGATGCTGCACTTAGCATCTTGCCAGCTGCCTCTAGCTGTTTGCACTCAACACAGCCCCAAGCTGATCTTGGCAGCTGGCCGCTGGACCTGAAGGAGGCTGGGGAACTGCCCTCTGGGGACTTCACAGAAAGAACCGACCTGCCTCTGTTGCCCCCCAGAGCTCAGGAATTCTGAGCAGCAAATGAGGACGCCCCAACCCAGGGCTGCGACAGCTGCCTCAGGACTCCTGGCCATGGCTAGAATCCCCGTGACCGGCCCTCTGCCAGAGGGGAATCTTAGCTCTTAGAAGCACATCACAGAGGTGACAACCATGTGGCAACTGTGATGCCTTCACCTGCTGCAAGTGCCCAGTCCACTCTTTAGGGACGTGAAGAGGCCGGTCACCCCCATGCTGAATTGTGCATGTAAAGTATGGTAGTTCCACCTGTTTTTTTAAACAAAATACCCCAAAGCATTTCAAGGAGGGGGGGAAGGATCAAACTTCTGAGCTGAAGCGGAGCAGAATTGCAGAGGCAGCGGAAGGGTTTGCTGGCAATTCACACACAGCGGGCTCCGTTGCCGGGGTGTTCCTGGTAAATGATGTATGCAAGGCGTCCACCAGCCAGGGAGGGCTGAGGGAGACTCCTGTCCCAGCCTCGCCTGGGTGGTATTGCTGCAGCCTCTGGCCCCCAGAGCTAGGCCTCCCAGCTCTGCCGCTTTGGGGCAGATGTCAGAATTCTCATGCACAGAGAAAGGCCATGTACCTGCTTCTGCATGGCGTGCTCATGCCAGCCGGGAGGGGGCGCTGTCTTCACCCCATCTGCCGAAAGGAAGCCGAGACTCCGAGAGGGCAGGGCCTTGTTGCCCAAAGGCCCCAGGTAGGAGGCTGCAGGGCCACGTTTGAGCCTTTGTCTCACCACAAAGCTCTTCCCACCATGCCCTCCTGCCCTTTCCCAAACAGCTTCTGGGTTGCCATTAAAAATAGAACCAAGCACTTGCCTACCCAGTGGAGCTCAGCTCTGAGGCCGGACTGGAGGCAGCATGAAGGCACTGGGCAGTGAGAATGTACAACTGATACACACGTTGCATAACACCCTCCTCTATTTCTGTCTCTGTGTTTCTCTCTCTCTCTCAATCTCTCTGCCTCTTCTTCCACCATGTTCTAGGTGGCCTGTCCCCACCACAGTCAGCCATCTGCTGCCTCCCTCCCGCCCAAGACTCCCCACCTCGTTCTTTGTGTCTTTGGTGACACCCAGCCCAAGGTGGAGAGTGTGGGAAAGGAGTGATAAATCCGTGCGACTTTTCAAGCCAGGCATCACCGGCGAACGTGCGTTTGTTCAGTCTCTGGTGCACTCTAGAATCAGGCAAGGTGGCTTCATGGAGCGCGACAGTGAGAGAACAGGACTAGAGGGCAGCAGCTGTGACCGCGGGCCAGAGCCCTCAGGCCCACGGTTAGGTCCAGAGACTTCAGGGGGGCTGCTGGATGTGGGGGGGACAGGCACTGTGCTGGCCCCTAATATATGGCCCATCCAGAACCCAGACTCAGTAGCCACCTCCCCAAAGTCGCCCACAGATGAAACTGCCCGTCAGAGCCTTAGGGTGGCAGCCTGGACACTGGTGGCCCCTGTGCCAGCTTTGTCCTGGGCACTAACCAGAGGAGGTGTGGAGGAATCTAAACCCCGAGACTAAGGGGACCCTCCGCCCAGTCAGAGCACCTCACCTGGGCCGCGCCTCCGCCGTGCCCAGACGTTGTTCACACCCGGTCCGCACACAGAGGCTGATGCCAGCACTGCACCTTGGGCGGGCATCAGTGGGGGCAGGGGCTCTGTTCCCCCCATTCTCTACTGCCTTCTCTCATAAGGACAATCAGCTCCTTTTAACTGGGGCCAGATGACTTAGCGAGGAGAAGCCGGGGACCTCGCTGGACCCCAGCATGGGGCCTGGCCTGGGGCCCTACCACAGAGCTGGCTTTGGAGAAGCACCTTGATGGGTGCCCAGGTGCCCTGAGTGGGGGCAGGGGCTCCCTCTCCAGCATGCCTGGAGCCTTCCACAGCAGTTGAACTGGGAACTCTGCCTTAATCTGTACTCCAACGTGTACCCATTCAGGAAGGTTCTGATCCAAGTCTTGCCCCTCCCCACCCGCTCCAGGCCGGCACTGGGCTGGGCGCTCTGCTGTCTGTGTGGCCTTCATTTGCTCTGGCAACAGCCCCGGGGCCACCTGTCCAGTCACACCCCGGTGGGTGACAGCAAGCTTGCAGTCCCCTTCCACGTGGCCAGCTCCGCCAGCCCAGGGCCCCCTCGTCCCCCGCAGCACCCCCCTCCCGTGTTCATGATACAGCCTTCCCTTCTGGGACACCTTCATGCAGGACTTACATTAGCCCGAGTAATTGCCAGCAACACTTCAAGGTAAATATTAATCATCTGCCTTTTGTAGGTGTAGAAAGCGAGGCTGAAGCCAGCGGCAGAGCTTCAGGGATGCCTTCTGCTGACCCATCATGGCTGAGGTAGCGCAGATGAGCCCCGCTCTGTCCCTTATTCGGACCACGCAGATTTGGGGAGGGGCAGGGAGGGGCTGCCATGCCAGGAGAGCTTAGCCGGGAGGGCGGCACCGATGGACACTTCGTTCTCACGGTTCTGGAGGCTGATTGGGTGCCTCTTCCCGCTGGCCAGCCCCGGCAGTGGCCTCACTGGCCAGCGAGCCACCCTCTGGTCTCTCTTTCCAGGGTACAGGCCGCATGGTGGGTCTCCCTGAGCTCTGCCGGCTCAGATGCCATCACACCAGGGGTCAGGGCTCCCACTTGTGGGTGGGGAGCACAAAAGCTCAGTCTGTGTTAGGGTGCCCTTCCTCCCTGCCCCTGCTCCCCAACCATTCAGCCCCTTCACATACCCCATTCCGTGGCGCCCTTCCCCTCCTCTGTTCATCACTCCTGGGTTATAAGAAAACCCAGCTTCTTTTAACTGGAGTTAGCTGACTTGAGGAGGAGAAACTGGGGGACCCCGGAGTTAGCTGACTTGATGAGGAGAAGCTGGGGGACCCCGGAGTTAGCTGACTTGATGAGAAGCTGGGGACGTTGGTGTACC